GAAAGGAGCTGAGGAAAAAACCATCTAACTTTGCAACGAGGGCGGTAGCGAAACCAGAAAGCCCTGGCATTCGAAAACCAAGTTTGGCGGCGCATGACTGGTGCGACAGATCACATCTGATGTCCCAAACTGGTAGGACAGACCATATGGGATGTCTCAGACTGGTAGGACAGACGATATCTGACGTCCCAGGCTTGTGGGACAGACCATGTTTGATGTCCCAGACTGGTCGAACAGGACCATATCTGATGTTGCAGACTGGCTCTGACAGGCCATATCTGATGTCCCGGCCTGGCTCTGACAGACTAAATCTGACGTCCCAGACTGGCTCGAACATCACCGTGGCAAAACAGTTACTATTTCTTGCACTTCCACAACAGTGGTTTGTAGAACGGACACTGGTGGGATTTGCATTGTCTCTTCCGCGCCACACAGGGTACGCGCCAAGATGAGGCATCTTATCAGATTGTGTCATTCACCAGGCGTAACGGAAGTCTTCCCAAGTTGGTGAAGGAGGGAGGGGGGGGGGGGGGCAGACATTTTTGACCATTTTGCTCTCCACACCCATGCAGCCAATGTTAAATTTTCAGTCAGTCGAGGGCCCAACCTCCAGTTCGTGCGTCCCCGCTATCAAGCCATGTTAACATTAAGAGTTGGTCTGCAAACCAGTCCAGTATGCCGGGCACATGTGCGTCTTATAACACTTTTTCATACAGCACTGTAGCTTAATTCTCGTAATATACCTGCGGACCTGTAAGCCACTCCACCCAGTCTTCCGGCTCCTCCCACCATCCTAGGCCGCGCTTTCCCGCCCGTCGATCAGGCCGTGTCTGGACGCGCTGCCCGTACATCAGGCCGTGTCTGGACACGCTATCCGTCGATCAGACCGTGTCTGGACGCGCTACCCGTCGATCAGACCGTGTCTGGACGCACTGCCCGTTGATCAGACCGTGTCTGGACGCGCTGCACATCGATCAGACCGTGTCTGGAGCCGCTGCCCGTCGATCAGACCGTGTCTAGAGCCGCTGCCCGTCGATCAGACCGTGTCTGGAGCCGCTGCCCGTCGATCAGACCGTGTCTGGAGCCGCTGCCCGTCGATCAGACCGTGTCTGGAGCCGCTGCCCGTCGATCAGACCGTGTCTGGACGCGCCCCCGCGCCACCTGACGGCGGTGTCGCTCTGTGCCTGCAGGTGAGCAGCCGGCTGCCATGCAGACAGGGTCTTCGTCGTTCGCCGCCAGCGGGCGCAGCTGTCTGGGAGGCGTCCTCCTGCTGGCGGCCGTCCACCGCCTGCTGACCGGCGTCAGGTGATCTGGCCTGACCTGGCCTGACCTGACCTGATGCCTGGTCGGCGGTGGAGCGGGGCCCGTTCCCGAGAGAGATCGGGTGGTTGCCTAACCTGACCTGAGCGTTGGCCAGCGGTGGAGCAGGCCTGCTCCAGATCGAGGACAGTTGATAATTTGACCTGACCGCAGGCCCGGGGAGTGGGGTGGATGCCCGAACCGGCTCGGGCGGCGTGTGAGTGCAATGCTACTGCACCTGCGCAGCGAGTTCGCATCAGCGCACTCACGGAACACTCCGCAGCGAATGCAGCGCAGCGAAACGGATTGGGACCTACAGTGTGAAAGCACAATCTTCACAAATGGATTTGTGGCTTTGCTGTCTCAAACGAGACGGACTTGGTATGTCGCCTCGGGCCATCTCTGCCGCGGAACTCGAATGTGTGAGGCGAACGCGTGGATATGTACCCGGCTGTATTGTTGGCGGTGAGCGGCGGGCTCTGTTATGTCCTATGGCCGCCATGTCACACTCGCCGAGTGCTGCAGGCAAGACATGCCTCAAAACGCCTCTTGGTGGTTGTCCGGGGCTGTTTGCTCGATGTCACCGCCACGGGGCGCGTTCGCTTCACGGTATCGCAGTGTCCATGTACTCTTCTAACCCGGCTTTTTGCTAGTTTCAGCTCGAAGGCCTAGATTTGCGTTCGTGGTTGTCATGAGGGATATTTGGTCGCGTTTCCGAATGGTTGTGCGTACCGGATATGAACTTACCAAAGACGTATGTTGGGTTGTGAAGAGGCGATGTCAACAATACGACATTTCCTAGTTTAGCGATGATTACAACAAAACTCAGCAATTCGTAACAGGCCGCCGGGACACGAACGCGAGCCATGTTATTGGACACCGCCTTTGGAGCATGATATGTGGCAACACGGCGACCCATTTCCACGTCGGTGTGTGTGTGTGTGTTCATATCTCACTGGGACTGTCTCCGTGAGTTCGTGGGTTCGGACGTTGTATTCAGTGACCGGGTCAAAGTTCAAATAAATACGACGTGGACGTAAACGAAGAAATACAGCAAACTTACTGACGTCAGTGGTGGCAGTGAGCAGAATCCGTTGCGGCTTTCACTGGGATAACACGGCTACCGCCGCCACGCACCGCCTGATGAATCAACACCTCGAACAATCTATGCGAGAAGTTCTGTGCCGCTGTGGTGACTGACCGGACAGAGCTCTCCGTGGCGCTGTGGTGACTGACCGGACAGAGCTCTTCCGTGGCGCTGTGGTGACTGACCGGACAGAGCTCTCCGTGGCGCTGTGGTGGCTGACCGGACAGAGCTCTCCGTGGCGCTGTGCTGACTGACCGGACAGAGCTCTCTGTGGCGCTGTGGTGACTGACCGGACAGAGCTCTCCGTGGCGCTGTGGTGACTGACCGGACAGAGCTCTCCGTGGCGCTGTGGTGACTGACCGGACAGAGCTCTCCGTGGCGCTGTGGTGACTGACCGGACAGAGCTCTCCGTGGCGCTGTGGTGACTGACCGGACAGAGCTCTCCGTGGCGCTGTGCTGACTGACCGGACAGAGCTCTCTGTGGCGCTGTGCTGACTGACCGGACAGAGCTCTCCGTGGCGCTGTGGTGACTGACCGGACAGAGCTCTCCGTGGCGCTGTGGTGACTGACCGGACAGAGCTCTCCGTGGCGCTGTGGTGACTGACCGGACAGAGCTCTCCGTGGCGCTGTGGTGACTGACCGGACAGAGCTCTCCGTGGCGCTGTGCTGACTGACCGGACAGAGCTCTCCGTGGCGCTGTGGTGACTGACCGGACAGAGCTCTCCGTGCCGCTGTGGTGACTGACCGGACAGAGCTCTCCGTGGCGCTGTGGTGACTGACCGGACAGAGCTCTCCGTGGCGCTGTGGTGACTGACCGGACAGAGCTCTCCGTGGCGCTCTGGTGACTGACCGGACAGAGCTCTCCGTGGCGCTGTGGTGACTGACCGGACAGAGTTTTGCCATCCAGATTTAGTGAACGCCGCGGATATGATTAGACTTTTGCGTTGGATTCTATGCAGATGCCAGAGTGTGCTCCGACCTGCGAAGAGTAAGAGGGTGCTGCGGAGGCTCTCCACCTTCCGATCTGCAGAGAGTGAGAGGGTGCTGCGGAGGCTCCACGCTCCGATCTGCGGAGAGTGAGGTAGTGCTGTAGAGATTCTCTACGCTCCGATCTGCGGAGAGTGAGATGGTGCTGCACAGGCTCTCCACGCTCCGATCTGCGGAGAGTGAGATGGTGCTGTAGAGGCTCTCCACGCTCCGATCTGCGGAGAGTGAGATGGTGCTGTGGAGACTCTGCACGCTCCGATCTGTGGAGACTGAGTGTGCTACGGAGGCTCTCCACACTCCGATCTGTGGAGAGTGAGATGGCGCTGTGGAGGCTCTGCACGCTCCGATCTGTGGAGAGTGAGATAGTGCTGTGGAGGCTCTGCACGCTCCGATCTGCGGAGAGTGAGATGGTGCTGTAGAGGCTCTCCACGCTCCGATCTGCGGAGAGTGAGATGGCGCTGTGGAGGCTCTGCACGCTCCGATCTGCGGAGAGTGAGATAGTGTTGTGGAGGCTCTCCACGCTCCGATCTGCGGAGTGAGATGGTGCTGTGGAGGCTCTGCACGCTCCGATCTGCGGGGAGTGAGATGGTGCTGTGGGGGCTCTGCACGCTCCGATCTGCGGAGAGTGAGATGGCGCTGTGGAGGCTCTGCACGCTCCGATCTGTGGAGACTGAGTGTGCTACGGAGGCTCTCTACACTCCGATCTGTGGAAAGTGAGATTTTGCTGCGGAAAGGCTCCCACGCTCTGATCTGCAGAGGGAGGGCGTTGCGCGAGTTCTCTACAGGCATTTCATTTCCTTTTGCCGAGAACTCAATCACGATTTTGCCTTCTGCCGTCAGCCCATCGCTGCCGAGCCGGCTATGAGGGCCACTCTGCCGGCTCTCCGACATGTTCAGACTGTGCTGCACCTGTCAGCTGGGGCGCTTAGCGGTACGCTGTACTAATGACCAGGCTCGGGCTCACACCCTTTCCGCCGCCCGACGTCTTGAAAACGACGAGTCGCTTCATCGAGCGCATAGAGCCTGTTTAAAAACGTTACACGAACTTTAAGCGCGCTCATGATATCATTTTTCTTCCTTGCGCTGCTTTTATTTTAGGGAGGATGACTGTCTCAGAATGTTGTACAGATCTCATCGGTGAGACGACCGCTTCCGTTAGACCAGCGACAGACAGTTTCAGAACCCATTTGATCGTGCCTGTATTGCCATAAAGCGTTGTTTGCGTGCAGCTGGTGTCTCATGACTTGACAGCTACAATCGAGCCACTCCGGTCGCTGGGGCATAATGCTGAACATAAAACCCGCCTTTTGTTCCTCCCGCGCCAGCGGCGGCGCTTATTTCGAAACTCCCAGTTCGGTTGGTCCAAAGCTGGGTTAAAGAGAGTTTTCCACTCTTGTATGGGGTTTTAAACTGAAACATTCTGCAGATCATTCGGTGCAGCCCGCAGCCCTGCTTTTCTTAAAGGGAATGCTCTACATCTAAGATATTGCAGCAAACATCAGACATGATGAAGTAAGCCCACGTAACTGTTGATATACTTTTCACTGAACAGACCGCTCTAGACAACCCAATTTCTCTGTTAAATATATATGCTCTTCAATGCTTCCTCGTTTGATTACGTCATCGTAACTTCTACAACATTGATTGAGAGCCACTTGACAGTCGTTATATCTGGAAATCGTGCTCACGACCGCCATATATGAACGACTCGACAGTTCCATTCATCTTTGCCTTGGTCGCCGCACAGGTAACGGTGTGGCAGGATTTGAAGGACGTTACTTTGGCCACATGGATGTTTAGGTGGCCTTGAAAACGCATCCGTGAACTAGGTTACACATCTTCGCAGGCGTGTGGCTCAGAAACTAGAACGGTTGAAAGCCTAAGAAGAGCAGGGGCGTGTGCACATTTTCACACGTGTGCAGGACTGTACATGTGTGAACTGCACCGAATGATCTTCAAGATGGCTATTTCAGTTTATAATCCCATACAAATCTGATGCATTCTCTTTAAGCGCTAACGTTCTCTAGTTTTTGAACTACACGCCCGCGAATATGTGGATGCTATTTGGTGCAGACTATTTCAAGGTTACCGCGACATCCACGACACCGTAATAATGCCACTCAGATCCTGTCATTACACTGGCTATGCGGTGTCCAAGGTTACCAAAGACTGTACTGCCGAGTCGCTCATATCTGGCGTTCGTGAGCACAATTCCCAGATAACGACGACCAAGCGCGGATACCATGGCGGACATAGGCTTTCAACTATTGTTGTGTGAGATATGCAAGATTGGAATGCGAGTTACGTGTTGTGCTACATAATACAAAAAGTGACACATCCTTCCCAGTTATTACAGATATAGGGCCTGTTATCGAATCACTTAAGAATAGCGCTATGATCCAGTATGTGAATGGAAGCAAGCCCCTAAACTCACGGAAAACAGGTAAATAACACCACGAGAAACGGGTTAAAACAGGAGTATCTCACGATATTTGGTTCAACACACATTCAGCACTGCCGCGGGCCTTCTCACGGGAGACTGAAGAAACGCAATATGTGCTGTGATATAAGCGTTCCATGACGCAGTCAAACAACAGCGTATTGAGAAGCATATTCACTAAATATATTATGTTATCAATAGCAGCCTTTTCCACTTAAAAGCATACCAGCAGTTATAAGTAAACACATTTAATCGTATCTGATCCTTGCTTCCATGTCTTTAAATGTGGAGCATTCCCTTTAGCAACATTGCAATGGGGAGTGAGTCCTGAGTGAGCATCAGTCTCAGTCTCCGTGTATTTCCGTGAACGGTTTTGTACAGTAGACAATCATTTGATGAAGATCTTGGCTCCGTCTTGACGGCGCAGAATTGTAAGGCTCGTGTGATGCAGGCACATGAATTCGTCCTGATTCATCTTGGCTTCGTCCTGACCGCGCATATTTGCTTGGCTTCTGTGATGCAGGCATATGTTCCGTCCTGATTCATCTTGGCTCCGTCCTGACGGCGCATAGTTCCTTAGCCCCTGTGATGCAGGCACATGATCCGCCCTAAAATATCGGCAGCGGGAAATCATCCACACTAGAGAATCGTGGTCATGTCCGACTTGTAAGCCGAATCGCTCAAGGGCATCCTCTTCCCCACTGCCACACCTCAACCGTCGCCAGGTGTCCACCCTATCGGTTGGTCGTTACATGAGTGGCTGATATAAACCTGTTTTTTGATACCTTATGTACAAGTCCTAATATTTTCCGGCCCAGACTGCAGTTGTTCGAGACGTTGTTTCTCACGCTGGCTACAGAGTGAAAACAGCTGCACCGCAGGCGCAGCCGCCGGGGGCGCATCCGCAACCATGCCGCGGTTTGACGACGCATCGGGCCACTCCACCGTCATTGCAGCGCTACTGGGGTTCCACCGGAATGAGGAGACGCACGCGATCGTCTTACCCTGGGGTCTGCTGGGTCGTCCTGCGGTACCGGCCGGGCGCCTATTGCTTTGATCTGATCTGCTAATGGCGGGATGAGAGTGCCGATCGCATGGGAAGCTACTGAATGATAAATGAGAGCTTGAGTCGAACAACAGTCCTTCCCCCGCGGCAGCTGACCAAACCAGACCTGAGTGGTGACCACCAGAGGTGGGATCATGTAATGGTGAGGACGGCACCAGCTGCACAGAAGGGAATACACATCTGCACTGTGGATGCAATAAAACGGCGAAATGATAAGGCCTGTGTTTTGCCTGCACAGCAGGTTGAATGCCTACTGTTGTTTACGTTGATTTGAAAGATAATCTAATTCTGCATTTTTATTACCATCATGCTTGGCATGGTTTTAGGCTGTATGAGAGCTTCCGGTTATAGACGTTTGAGGCTAGTGACATGCCTCATAACACCGAGCGTGAAGAGAGCACACACGGAACAGGACCATCTACTCATTTTCTTTGCTCAATTGTGTAATATTTCGGAAACGCTCTGCAACCGTACCAGGACACCGGGTTGCAGGTTTTCCTCGAAGCGATTTAGGGCTGAAGTCTCTTCAGGAGGCGCCAATTTACAGCAGAGGTAGCATCCGGCAGATGCCAGCATCCATCACAGATTATGTCACCAAATGTAACGACGTAATGGTGCTGGATGGCGCCGCTGAAATTGGCAATGAATCGTGCAGGTGTCCCTTGACGAAAACTAACTGCGGAAACCTTCCAAAGATCTTGCACGACTGGACCTTTAATTTTCAATTCGACTGGACAAGCCAGCGTGAGGAGCTTCCGTCA